TTTTTTTTTGTGATTTTTGGCATTTTTTCATGTTCCTGGCTGGGATTTTTTTGTGAAATTTGGGAATTTTGGGTTTTTCAGTGGGGATTTTTTTAGGATTTGGGGATTTTTGAGGTTTCTGGTTGGGATTTTTTTGGGATTTTGGCATTTTTAGGTTTTCTGGTCAGGATTTTTTTTAGGATTTTGGGATTTTTGAGCTTTTGGTTGGGGAATTTTTTTTTATTTTGGTTTTTTTGAAGTTTCTGGTTGGGATTTTTTGGGGATTTTAGTATTTGGGGTGTTTCTGGTCAGGATTTATTTGGGATTTTTTTTTAGGATTTTTGGGATTTTTGAGGTTTCTCGTTGAGTTTTTTTTTTGGGATTTTGGGATTTTTGAGACATTTCCTTGGGATTTTTATTAGGATTTTGGGACTTTTGAGGTTTCTGGCTGGGATTTTTTGGGGATTTTTTGGTTTTCTGGTCAGGATCTTTTTAGGATTTTGGGATTTTTGGATTTATTTGGGATTTTGGTTTTTTGGGTTTTTCAGTCAGGATTTTTTAGGATTTGGGGATTTTTGAGGTTTCTGATTGGGATTTTTTTGGGATTTTGGCATTTTTAGGTTTTCTGGTCAGGATTTTTTTTAGGATTTTGGGATTTTTGAGCTTTTGGTTGGGGAATTTTTTTTTATTTTGGTTTTTTTGAAGTTTCTGGTTGGGATTTTTTGGGGATTTTGGGATTTTTGGGTTTTCCAGGCAGGTTTTTTGTAGGATTTTAATTCTTTTTTGAGGTTTCTGGTTGGGATTTATTTGGGATTTTGGCATTTTTGGGTTTTCCAGACGGGATTTTTTATGATTTTGGGATTTCTGAGGTTTCTGATTGGGATTTTTTTGGGATTTTTACATTTTTAATGGGATTTTTTTGGGATTTTCCCTATTCCCACACGGAATTGTTTGGGATTTTCGGTGCCACCCCCTTGGTGTCCCAGGTTCAGGGTGACACCGAGGCCCAGCGGGGTTTGGGGGTTTGGGGTTTTTGGGGTTTTTGGGTGAATTTTGGCATTTCTGGGGGGGGTTTTGGGTTTTGCTTTGGGATTTTTGGGGTTTCCTGGCTGGGATTTATTTGGGATTTGGGGATTTTTGGGTTTTCCAGTCAGGATTTGTTTAGGATTTTGGATTTTTTGGGTTTCCTGGTCAGGTTATTTTTAGGATTTTGCGATTTTTGAGGTTTTTGGTTGGGATTTATTTGGGATTTTGTTTTCTTGGATTTCCCAGTCCGGATTTTTTTTGACATTGGGATTTTTGTGGTTTCTGGTTGGGATTTTTTTGCGATTTTGGCATTTTTGGGGTTTCCAGTCTGGATTTTATTGGGATTTTTACATTTTTAATGGGAATTTTTTTTATTTTTCTCTATTCCTGCCCGGAATTTTTTGGGATTTTCGATGCCACCCCCCTGGTGTCCCCTGTGTGTCCCAGGTTCAGGGTGACAACGAAGCCGAGCGGGGTTTGGGGTTTTTGGGTGGATTTTTGGGGTCTCTGGTCAGGATTTCATTGGGGTTTTGGCGTTTTTAATGGGATTTTTTTTGGATTTTCTCTATTCCCACACGGAATTTTCTGGGAATTCTCGGTGCCACCCCCTTGGTGTCCCCAGGTGCAGGGTGACAACGAGGCCGAGCGGGACCTGGGGGCCGTGCAGCGCGGGGACCCCGAGATGGAGCAGAAGCTGAACCGGGTCCTGCGGGGCTGCGTCGAGAGCGGCGCCGGGAACCCCGTCAGCTCCATCCATGATCAGGGGGCCGGGGGCAACGGTGAGATTGGGGACAATTGGGGACATTTGGGGACATTTGGGACATTTGGGGACATCGGGAACCCCGTCAGCTCCATCCATGATCAGGGGGCCGGGGGCAACGGTGGGTGGCATTTGGGGACATTTGGGGACATTTGGGGACATCAGGAACCCCGTCAGCTCCATCCACGACCAGGGGGCTGGAGGGAATGGTGGGTGGCATTTGGGGACATTTGGGGACATTTGGGGACATTTGGGGACATTTGGGGACATTTGGGGACATTTGGGGACATTTGGGGACATTTGGGGACATTTGGGGACATTTGGGGACATTTGGGGACATTTGGGGACATTTGGGGACATTTGGGGACATTTGGGGACATTTGGGGACCTTTGGGGATGTTGGGGGGGTGAGGACATTGGGGACACCATGGGACCAGTCCGTGGTGCCAGTCTGATGTCCCCACTGTCCCCAATGGTCCCCAATGTCCCCAATGTCCCTCTGATGTCCCCTCTGATGTCCCCAATGTCCCTCTGATGTCCCCTCTGATGTCCCTCTGATGTCCCCAATGTCCCCAATGTCCCCACTGTCCCCTCTGATGTCCCCTCTGATGTCCCCTCTGATGTCCCCTCTGATGTCCCCTCTGATATCCCCAATGTCCCTCTGATGTCCCCAATGTCCCTCTGATGTCCCCTCTGATGTCCCCAATGTCCCCTCTGTCCCCTCTGATGTCCCCTCTGGTGTCCCCGATGTCCCTCTGATGTCCCCACTGTCCCCAGGCAATGTCCTGAAGGAGATCTCGGAGCCGGCCGGGGCCGTCATCTACGCCAGCCGCTTCCAGGTCGGTGTCCCCAATGTCCCCAATGTCCCCAATGTCCCCAGGGTCCCCACAGTGTCCCCAAATCCCCAAGGTCCCCCTTTAACCCCTTCCGTCCCGTGATGGCCACCATTGCTGTCAATGGCCTCAGTGGCCTTGGTGACACTTTGGTGGCCTCGGTGGCCCTGGTGACACCTTGGTGACACCTTGGTGACATCGGTGGCAGCTGGGTGACCCCACGCTGAGCGTCCTGGAGCTGTGGGAGGGCTCTGAGTGTCCCTTGTCCCCAAATCCCCAAACCTTTAACCCCTTCCATCCCGTGATGTCACTGGTGACATTGGTGGCACCTTGGTGACATTGGTGGCACCTTGGTGGCCCTGGTGACACCCTGGTGACATCGGTGGCAGCTGGGTGACCCGACTCTGAGTGTCCTGGAGCTGTGGGAGGGCTCTGAGTGTCCCTTGTCCCCAAATCCCCAAATCCCCAAACCCTTTAACCCTTTCCATCCCGTGATGTCACTGGTGACATTGGTGGCACCTTGGTGGCCCTGGTGACACCCTGGTGGCCTTGGTGGCAGCTGGGTGGCCTCACCCTGAGTGTCCTGGAGCTGTGGGAGGGCTCTGAGTGTCCCTTGTCCCCAAATCCCCAAATCCCCAAACCTTTAACCCCTTCCATCCCATGGTGTCACTGGTGACATTGGTGACACCTTGGTGACCTTGGTGGCACCTTGGTGGCTCTGGTGACACCTTGGTGAGATCGGTGGCAGCTGGGGGACCCCACCCTGATCATCCTGCAGTTTTGGGGGGGTCTGAGTGTCCCCAGTGTCCCCAAACCCTTTAACCCCTTCCATCCCGTGATGGCCGCCATCACTGCCAATGGCCTTGGTGACACCTTGGTGGCCCTGGTGACACCTTGGTGGCATTGATGGCCCTGGTGACACCCTGGTGACATTGGTGGCAGCTGGGTGACCCGACGCTGAGCATCCTGGAGCTGTGGGAGGGCTCTGAGTGTCCCTTGTCCCCAAATCCCCAAATCCCCAAACCCTTTAACCCCTTCCATCCCGTGATGGCCACCATCGCTGCCAATGGCCTCAGTGGCCTTGGTGGCCTTGGTGGCCCTGGTGACACCTCGGTGG